CTAATTAAATTAATGTAACAAGAGACAAAAATAAAGTACCAATAAGATTTAGAATATAAAATGATGTGATAATAGTATGAATTGATTGGTAAATTAAATGATGATGAAATCTAAATAAAAATGATGCGATAATAATATAAAATAATTGGATAAGAAAGTAAATTATTGCTATTGGATAAAAAAATATAAGAAATATAGAAAAGTAAAAATAAAAGAAAAAGTTTAAATAAATATTACTGCACTAAAAATATAACGTGATATAGTTGATAAAAGGTAGAATGATAACAGTATGGATAATCATTGCATAATTTATTTCGGGCAGGTGGAATCTATTTCAGGTGTATTACAAACATATCAATATGATTTAGTGGAGCAAGCACAGACATGAAGTGTCATTATTTCATAATATGTGCTAATTTTCCGGAAAATTTTCTGTTGAAAAGTAATGTGATACACCTGTTGTATAATCGAATACATTTTCACAAATTTTGTAAACAAATCATGTTAGTACCAATCTAGAATTGCTAATCACAAGCTAGCTAAATTTTGATTCCCAATTCATTAACTAATAGTTGATTCATTAATTGTAATATTTGCTCAACTTGAATGTTATTTTGCGTTCAACTTTATAATGAAGCTATGAATTAATTAATTAGAACAAAATCTCTTTTTCCCATAGGTTCGAAAAAATATATGGTCATCTAGATAAAGATATATAATTAACCGTAATTATCTGGCTTCAAGTGATGAAGTCACAAGAAGATGAAAATCAATGTCATGATCACATAAGAATAAATCAGATATAATTTGTGTTGAGAAAAGGATGCTCATAAGATGTGTAAGAAACTAAGCTAATTCATCTTTGTTTTGTGAAATCCTTTTTTCTCACAGGTTCAAAAAAAGATATCTAGATAAAGATATATAATTAACTGTAATTATTTGACTTTGAGTGATGGAGTCACAAGAAGGTGAGATATATTGATCGTCTTTACTATGAGATATAGTGGAGCTAGTGTCTGAGACACAGTTTTCAAACTACAAATATAAAAATGTTGTTACGGTTGAAAATTCCTATAATTTTCATAATTTTCATAATTTTCATAATTTTCATAATTTCCATAATTTTCATAATTCTTATAATCTTTATAAACTCTAAAAACATCATAAACTCCATATTCTTTATAATTTTTATATATAAATCAATTAGACGAATTTTTATTATCTTAATTTTTATAAATTTCATATAAATTATCATAAATGTAATATCTATTAATGAAAAAATATTATTATAAATAAAGCAATAATGAGACTTTGAAAAAGGCATCAATTGATCAATACAAAAATCTAGCTAGTCAATAAACTGTTCCTTGTTTATTGTTAATGAAATTTGTACACTTAATTGATTAAAATAATAACTTATTAAAATACTTGCATTTATTGCGCACTATTGGACAACTGCCAAAGTTGCTATAGAATATCAGTATTGTATTGCTATAGGACTATCCCACACTAAGTAGACATAATATCTATTAGTAATAGTGAGAGTTTATTTATAAGATAGAAGAAAACGCACTGCGTGATGATCCTGAAGTATACTAACTACAATAAGATCAAGTAACTGTAAAATTACCGTCATCAGACATTGGTTGAACACCTACGTCACGATTATATCTACCAGGAGCCTGATCATGACATCATCAAAAATGTGTCATAAAAATTATATCATAACACTGATGATGGTGTCATATTTCTGGCATCACAACACTGATGACAGTGTCACATTTCTGTCATCACGACACATACCTGAGTGGGAATAACCTAGACTAAGTGAAAATAACATAATTATGTTATTTCCACTAAATTTAATCATGTAAATAAATATATGTAAAGATTATTATCTGAAATTTTGAATTAATTTATATTTTTGATAATTATAGATAGTTTGTATTATATAACTTAAAGTTTTTTTTAAAAAATTGATTAGTAATTTAATAGAATTTAAAGAATAAAGTTACTGATTAAATTTTTCTAATTTTATTCTTTCTTAAATATATATAATTCATGATAAAATAACCTCTAGTTAGATTCATAATAAAATCGCGTTCTTAAAGAATATTATTTTCGATTTTCCCTTTTCTGACTTAATACTTCTTTATTTAGCAATTTTATAAAAAGTGAATACATTAATAAATTTTAGAATGCAATAAAAAGGTGTGATTTTGATATTACGTAATTTCTTAAGGGGGGTTTGAAAAATCTTAAGTTCATATTAAAAAAAATTTTTATATATTAAATAATCTTACCTGGGGGGAGGTATAATAAAATTATATTACGTAATATCTGTGACTCCCCTTATAATTGTATTTTCGCACCTTTTTACAGCACTCACCCCATATCAATATACTTAGTTTATTGGGAATGGATTTAGAATCTTTCGACCAACACTAGCCTTATCACCAGCACTAACGCTAACCCTTACCTTTAGCCCCTATCCTAATTTGGGCTGATTTCATATTCACATATGCTGAGAGTTTAAAACCATTCCTTTATTTAAATAACTTTGTAACGATAAGTAATAAATAACGACGAAATAATTTCTTTAATAAGAACAATCTAAAATAACTAATATTATATTTTCTAATTAGTTAGGTTTTTATTAGCTTCTTTTTTCCAAACCCTCTAAGACGAGACAGCAGGTGGTAATGGACCAAATACCTCCTCAAACAAATTCTCAAAGCCCCATTCAATAGATCCAGAATCGTGAATTTGGTAAATTTCTGGAAAATGTTAGTCATATTAGCATTATTTCATTCATAAAGAAGTCCGAGTTCGCACCTTTTTCATTCACAATCGATGCAGGATCTAGTCGAAGATCATGCTCATTAATTTCGATTATTGGCAAATCTTTAAATTCAAAATTATCAAATTCGTACGCCTCTGCTGTAGGTCGGCCGCGGAAATATTCCAAATCAATACATATATCTTCGCTTGGCTCATACGGAAATTCTTTTAAAGAAAAAATATTAATCAAATAAATCATACTCAAAAAAATATTATAAATTACATTACCTTCTTGATGAGGATGACAATATTCCACGTCCCACACTACTTCATTTGCTTCTTGGTAAAGATTGGTCTGTTGGTTGTTGCCCACATATGGTGTTCTATTGGTCTTGTCTTTGAGAACACGTGTCGAAGACTTTGTAGGTTTGTCATTATACTTCGTTTTATTTGTCTTGTCTTTGAGAGCACGTGTCGGAGACTTTGTAGGTTTGTCATTATACTTCTTGTTTGGGGTTTGAAATGCTTGGTAAGATGTCTGAAATGGTGTCTTTGCTTGTAATTTAGGTGTTTTAGCGTTATGTTTTGGTGTTTTGAAATCCACAAAGGAATTCTCGTCAGCAACTTGTGATTTAGAATTCTTTTTTGAGCGGGTTGAGCGCTGCATTGTGTGATTATATCGTGGCAAAGATTGAAGTATTATGAGGATTTAAATAAGTAAAAAAAAAGACACGTACGCGTTCTATATACGGTGATAGCAAAACAAATTTCACGTGACGATTAAACTCATCTTTTTATTTAATATATTTATTTACATCTATTTGTCTATCTATAGAGCTGCAAAGATGTAATAACAGCAGCGGCAGTAGTAGTAAGATGATCAACCCAGTCCTCCCCACACACCACGAATTCGTCTTGCCAGCTGTAGATCCTTTTGCATAATAGTCACTCGTTTGGCGTGTATAGCGCATAGATTTCTAGAGAAGGAGAGGGAAGAGCGTATAAGCAAATATTTCTCATCACCATCTTACTATTGAATTCCGATGAAAGACATACGCATCCTCGAATAAGTGAACAAGATAAGCTTCCGTGGCTTCTTGTAATGCCATTATAGCCGCGCTTTGCCATCTCAAACCAGTGCTTTCGGTGACGAAATCTTCAGCGATTTCACGTACCTAACAATGATCCAGAGACAAATATTAGCTTTTAAAGAAGATACTTTTATCCTGTTTTTTAATATTGTTTTTAATCTCAGCCTTACCAAAGCACAATTAAGTAATTTGCTTGTGCTTATAGTAAAGAATACATACCACCCGTGCAAAAGGCAATTTTCTAATAAGTAGGTGAGTTGTTTTCTGATATTGCCTAATTTCCCGTAACGCTATAGTACCAGGGCGATACCGGTACCTTCCACCTTCACTTGAAGTTCCTAGTTATTAATATTAGAAATAGAGAAGTATACACATCTTATTTGTACGAAAAATACTAAAAAATTCGATAAATTAAATGAATGAAAAGAAAATTTAGTTACTTCTTGTTTGTTTCTTTGGAGAGGGGGTAGATTGTGTTAGTGGTCTTAATTTTTTAAAGGTCGACTTTCGTACTATACTTCTTCTTCCTGCTAGGGTATTTCTTGAGGCTGGACTTGCTCTTGCAGCAGACCTTGAGGTCGAGGCCACTGCGGCATCTCTTGAGGTAGATGCTCGTGCAGGCGAAGAGTTGGAAGTGGGTCGCGCCATTTAACAATATATCTACAAACGTTGTCGCGTTTATAGATTTTCTATATGCGTGACGTATCTCAACAAACCATATTTGGAAAGAATAGATTGTGACAAATCATTTTATTAAACATCAGTTTCAAAATCTTTATAGAAAACAATAGCTTCAACCAATTCTTCATATCCTTGTAATCTTGCCGCTTTTGGTACCCGCCCAATCTCAACAAAGTTCTTATTTTTATCGCAATTTACATATTAGAAATAAACCTTCGATTAGAATAGATCAATGAATTTCAAATCTAATTCTCACCAATGATTTCCATAAGTTAACAGAAGCAACATTGTTTGCGAAAACAAGATTGAAAACGGATGATTTATATCCTATAGCGGGAGCTAATTGAAGAAATGCTTCACCCATTGCTTTACCAACACCAAGATTTCTCGATTTGTGAGGAACTATGAATCCTCCATTGCATATCTTCAAATGTACAAATAAAATTATTTTATATTATTATTTAGTAAACGGTAAGTTAGATTTCTAAGCTTACGTGTGAACATCGCCCTATAAATTGAATATCATTAATATATTGCAATAATTAAATTGTATTTCGGGACATATAAATTCTGATAGTTCTACTTTTGGTATAGATACCAGGGTAATTCGGTTTGATATAAAACATTCCAACTACTCTCTCGTCCCAAACAACTCCATTTGTTGATTTATCTTTAGCTTTTAAAGCAACAAACGCGTGATGGCTAAGAAAATATTCACGAAATTCTTGTTCATCAAGTTCAAATTCTTGTGGATATGAGGTGCCTTCTTCGATAACTTTGCTAAAAATTTGATGTAAATGGGAAATCAGTGGTATTGGCGAGTTATTATTGACCATAGCGATTTCAATTAACATTCCAGATTTGGTTTCTTTGCAAATAGGAAGGATTGATGAAATTTTAGAAGAATCAAATTGAGGAGCAACAATTGATCCATAAGCTGAAGACATCATGTTAGGTTATATATATATATGACCTCGATTTGGCCAATTTAATGTAAAATTTGTTAGTGTAACATCTAATATAATTTATTTATTCTCACGATGCAATGATGTAACACAAACCAAAATAACGCGAACATTTTTCACTATGTCAGGTATGTGCAAGGAAAATAGAAATCTCCCCAAATGCACATTTGGACCGAATACAAACGTAGTGTACAGGTTCAATATAAGAACTTATAGCTTGGGACCGAGCCAGAGCGTGCATTTAGAGAGAGTGCATTTATGGTAACTTTCTCATTGTAGAATAATACTAAACCAATAATAATTTTCCAAAAGCTTTTGCTTTAGAACGCTCAATTGCAATTAATGCAGTTCTCCAAGCTAGCAAAGTTTGTCAAACTGTTTTTCGACATTTAGCAAGCGCGGGAACAATAACGAAACTGGACAAGTCACCAGTTACAGGTATCAATTCAGCATAATTGCTACAGAATGCTTGGTTTTTATTAACTAGTAATTTTTTTGATTCAAGTCGCTGACTATAGTGCACAAGCAGTCATCAACACTATATTAGAGAAATCATTTCCCAATGACCCTATAGCCGGGGAAGAAGATTCCAAAAATTTACATGGCGACGAAAGGAAACCTTTACGCCAAAGAATTCTTGAATTGACAAACACCGTATTAGACGAGCCTTTAGACGAAAATAAAGTTTGTAACTTATGCTAATGTATCCCATTCATCGATAAAAAGGGGAAATTATCACTAAAGTATTATTTCAAACTACACAGTTATTGAATGCAATTGACCGAGGAACTCATCCGGGTGGAATAAAAGGAAGTAAGTGACAATTTATTGTTATTCCCATCATATTTATAATAATTTTTTGATCACAGGAATGTGGACGTTGGATCCTATCGATGGTACGATGGGATTCCTTCGGGGAGAACAATTTGCCGTGTGCCTTGCCTTGATAATTGACGGACAAGTAGAACTCGGTGTAATGGGATGTCCTAATTTACCGTTTGACTTGAAAAATCAAGAAAGCGAAAAAGGTTGCTTGTTTGTTGCTGTTAAAGGACAAGGCGCTTTTCAGGTTCAAAACATTAAACTTTGAAATTGCTATGTTTCCGAAGGTGATATGAAATGAACAATTAATGTATTTTTCTCCAATAATAAATTTAGCGTAAATTTTCTTCTCCGGATGTGCTACCAATCCACTTTGCGAATATCTCTTCTCCATCTGAGGCAACGTTTTGCGAATCTGTAGAATCAGGTCATTCGGCACATGGTGACGCAGCGAAAGTTGCAGCCTTGCTAGGAATCAGCAAACCACCACTTCGCATGGATAGTCAATGCAAATATTGTTGTGTCTCGAGAGGTGATGCAAATATTTATTTGCGATTACCTACGAGTAGTGAATATATCGAAAATATTTGGGTAATTATGATTTTGATTTGAATCATCAATTTTTAGTATTTATTATTTTCGTCTAGTAAGTCTTCTCAATATAAATAGGATCACGCTTCTGGATCTTTGCTTGTTAATGAGGCAGGAGGCACAATATCTGATATTTACGGCAAAGCTTTAGATTTCTCACTTGGACGAAAGCTAACGGCTAACACTGGTGTTGTTGTCTCTCACCCAAACATACATTCACAAATTTTAGATGCAGTCCAAAAAGTTATCGTGAAAAAAGAGAATATCTAATAGGTTGATGTCAATCTACATCCTCATTTGATTTGATTTTTCTTAGTTTGTAAATTAAGAATCTACAGTAAAACATAGATTCAATGAGAAGTCATATTAATTCAGTTCTAATAATAATAAGATATTACCTTTTTCTTTAACTCTTTCTCTTTAGAAGTTTCCATTTTGGGAGACACAAAATATTTCAAATTGTTATTTAAATTTAACTTGCGCTCTTCTTGCTCTTTTCTTATTTTATCTAAAATCCGTAGTTATTCTTATAAGATAATATGCAAAATGTAACGTATATTATTGGCGAGTATCGGTTTGATAATACCTAGTGGGTTTTCTTTTTTTTCCTCCTTTTTCTTTTGTTCAATAACCTCAAGAATTTGTTTATTTCTTTGTTGAATTTTTAGTTTGTTGAGTCCATGTTTTGTGGGCGGCAGTTGTGTCTTTTTCTCGCTCTCTTTATTGATAGTTTTGGAGCCATTCGATGGAGGTATCTTTGTATCATTAGAAGGGGTAGTATAAAAAGAGGAAGAATTACGAGATTTTGGAATTGAAGCTCGATATTTAAGTAGATCTTCGACAGCTCTTTTTGCAAGTTTTTCGGTCATTGTTAACGTTATGGTTAAATGTGCAAAACAGTTCTGAATTATTTTTCATGATCTTCATATTGCATCAATCTATATACATATATAAATAAATTATCCATTCATACCTTGCTACCTTGCGTTTCTTTTTGTTTCAAACGAATAGTGCTGATTTACTCCACACACAATGGGTAATAACATATCAAGTACTGCTGCATCAATAGCGACAGCGGGCATTGACAGCTATGTGAGTGAACTCGGGGATGTACAATATGAGAAAAGGTAGTTTAGTTAAATCGATATCGATCAGTTTTCTTCTTTAAACTGCTGTAATTTATAATAAATTATATTCTTACGATTCATTTAATTGAATCATTTAATTCATTCGGAAATCATGTATCGCGTTGACTGATTTGGTTATTTTCACTTTGACGGCTTGCCACTATATGATAAAAACAACAAAATTGCAATTACAAAATAGTTTAAGCAGTGCACGCTTTATGAAAACCATTCGTGGACGACACAAGGATAGCACTGTTGTGGTGAAAATATTTATCAAACCTGAACCAGGGTTATCTTTATCACATATCGTGAAGGCACTTGAAGGTTTGTCATTTCGTGATGTGTGCGGAAAATGGGTTTTTATATAGCTTTAGGAAAATACTTAAAATCGAGATATTTTACGAATTATATTTCAATAAATTAATGAACTTGATCCCAATAAAACATTAATTATATTCATTTAAATTTATTATTATTATTGTACTTTTCTTATATGGCATTCACTTAATACTTATATAGAGGAAAAAGATACTTTATCTGAAGTGCCTAATGCTTTTGCCTATCAACGTATACTCGAAACCGAGAAGGCTGGCTACCTGATAAGGCAATACTTCTTCAGTAGTCTTTATGATAGAATAAGGTGTGCTCCGAATTGAATTTGCGTGTTCCTCGTACATGAGATTATGATTATATATATAATCACGCATATACTGTCATTGTGTAGTACGCGTCCTTTTTTAAATTTGATCGAGAAAAAATGGATAACATATCAGATACTTTGCGGTGTTCACGATGCACATACTCGTGGGGTAATTTTCGAAATTGAAAAGATTATTGATTCGTGTTTCATTAAATTTTTCTAACCTATCTTTTCGTATTAGATATACCATGGTGACATAAAGACAGAAAATGTGTTAGTGACATCATGGAATTGGGTGTATTTGGCAGACTTCGCTGGATATAAACCTACATATTTACCCGAGGTTCTTTATTGGAATTCAAAAATTAATTTTATTTATTTTTATATCAAGGACAATTATTAACTTAATCGTGTTTTTGTTGCTTTAGGATAATCCTGCAGATTTTTCGTTCTTCTTTGATACTTCGATGCGTCGAATATGTTATTTAGCACCTGAGAGATTTTATAAACGTCATAGTGAAATTGATCGAAGGAAGGTACATGCTCTAAAATAATATATTTTTCTAATGTGTCGTCTTTAATAGTTTCTCTATTGAGCTATAACTATGAAATTTTTGATAGGCAGAACTTGAATTTGGCGAGAAAGATGGTGCTATCACTCCAGCTATGGACATATTTTCATTAGGGTATTATAAAATTTTGATTTTTTTGATTTATCGATTTATTAATATAAATTATATTTGCTTTATAGATGTGTAATTGCCGAACTTTTTCTGGAAGGCACCGCAATATTTTCATTATCACAATTATTTAAGTATAGAAGTGGGGAATATGACCCAAGTGCTGACTTGAATAAAATCGAAGACTCAGATATCAGGGTATGTAGCTCTATTGAATTCTAAACAACATTTTACTCTTATCTATCATTAATTATCATCAAAATTCTATATTTAAAAAGGCATTGGTTAAGCACATGATAAATTTAGATCCATCCAAACGATATACGGCCGAACAATATCTACAAGAATGGTGAGATTTTTTGAATTTAAGAAATCAAGAATAACGTATATTCACCAAATATATTTTTCACATTAATTTATTAGGAAAGGAACAGCTTTTCCACACTATTTTTATACCTTTTTACATCAATATGTTGGCTCTGTGACCGAGAATAGTCATTCTCCGGGTCTTGATCCAAATACACCTGCTAGTCATATTAAAGACCCAAGCGGGGCACCAAATACAATTATTAATACTGATGCCGATGATAAAATAGAGAGAATATATCATGACTTTGATAAGATTGCATTTTTTCTTGGTTTTTACGGAGATAATTCAGATGAAGGAGAGCTAACCATTAACTCGGAATATTACGAGGGTGAGGTCGAAAATGGTGACGGTCGAAGACTTGTATCTATTGGTGGTCGTGATGGAAAAGTAGGCGAACGTTCTTCACAGGCATATCCAGGTAATTTTCGATTTTTTTTTGTTTTCTTTGAATTATTAAAGATTAAACCTTCCTTTTTCGTTAATCTCTTTGTCAAAAGCAAAAGAATCGTCTAATCCAACGGTACACGGTGTTTATCTTTTGGCTTTGTCTTTTTACTTTGATTTGCCTCTATTTGACTTGCTTATTAGCGAATAATGATAACGAGCCACAAATTTCTTTATATCACAGAACTCAATTTCTGTTCAAATAAATATCCCTAATTATTATATTTCATCGAAATCGGGAAACAAACTACCAAATAAAACTGCAGGTGATGAATTTGGTATTATATAATTTTTTTTGTATCGTGTTATTATCATTATAACCATATTTTTTTATCGAAATAAAACGAAAGATGGCGGGGCTCTTATTTTCCTTTCTCTTATTTGTGCGACCGTCAGAAACACAGCATATCCAACTTCAAAGCTTCATGCATTAGAGATGCTACTGGCTATTGGTCAGCACTTGGAAGACGAATTTAAATTAGATAGGCTTGTCCCTTACCTAATTGCTCTGCTTAGTGATAAAGTTGCTTTGGTGCGAGCAAATACAGTTAAAACTTTGACGCATTTGGTAAAGGATTTTTATCAATATTTATTCTAGTATTTTGTCTGTTGAAACATTTTTTACTGATCTCAATTATATGAAAAAAGCTTTCAATGGTTGAAACTATCACTCCTTCGAATGCTATGATTTTTCCAGAATATATCCTCCCACAATTACGTATATTTGCAACCGACCCCGAAATTCTTGTGCGGATGACATATGCACAGTGTATTTCCACGTTGGCTGAGATTGCACTAAGATTTTTAGAGTTGACTCAGGTTCTTGATTGTTTTAATTTTTTTTCCCACATTGTTTCTCGTAATTGATTATTTTGTTTGATTCTAGGGTTTCAAATCAGATGGTGGTTTGACTACACTGGATACAGATAGCGAAATCGAAGGAACCTATGAGGTACGCAATATAAATAGCACAGATTCAGCTAATTATTTATTAATATGCTATATTTTTATTTTAGGCTTCTTATGATACAAACCTTCACGATTTGCAATCCTTAATTCAAGAGCAAGTTACGACTCTTCTAATCGATCCTGAAAGTGCTGTAAAACGTGCATTACTTGAGAACATTACCAGTCTTTGCATTTTCTTTGGTCGACAGAAAGCGAATGATGTTTTATTAAGTCATATGATAACTTATTTAAATGACCGGGATTGGATGCTAAGATGGTAATTGAATTTCTATTGCAAATATCCATTTTTACTTTTCGTAGATAACCTATTTTTTACTTTGATTAATAGCGCCTTCTTTGAAAGCATTATTGGAGTGGGAACCGTTGTGGGTGGACGTAGTTTAGAAGAATATATTTTACCGTTAATGATTCAATCCCTAACTGGTATATATCTTTGATATTTTAATGGTCTTTTACATGCTATTTTTGAATCTTGATGATTTATATTTTATATCTAGATTCCGAAGAATTTGTGGTTGAAAAAGTTTTAAATTCCCTCACTAGCCTAGCTGAACTCGGATTGTTTCAGAAAATGAAGATATGGGAATTAGTGGGAATCATTTCTTCTCTATTATGTCACCCCAGTATATGGATACGATATGGTAAAGGACAATTTGAGGTTATATTTATATTGATTTTGACATTTAACACAATTTTGTTGATTTTGCTCTTTTAGGTGCAGTAGCTTTCATATCATCAGCATCTAAGTTAATGCCAGCAACTGATGTCTGGTGTATAGTATATCCGATAATCCGGCCTTTCTTACAAGCAGATGTTGTTGATTTGTCCGAACTACAGTTATTGGAAAATGTCAAAGATCCGGTATTGTTCTAAATTATAATCTAATAAACACACCATTCTATTCGTCTTACTATCTTGTCGATATTTGATTAGTTATCACGTGCGGTATTCGACGAAGTACTTTCATGGGCAAGTAAAGCAACAAATAAGTCACTATTTTGGAAACAAGCAAGAGAACGAAAAAACAACAAACAAGGCACATCGACTCTTTCGTCGGGCTCCGTTTCTGCAATCGCAATGTTATCACGAAGGTCATCGACGTTAGCTGTCAACGCGGAAAAAGTTGTGAAATCCGAAGAGTGTGTATTTACTGATCAATCGACCAATTTTATGATTTTATAGCATTACTGCTTATCTGATTGTGTCTGTTTGGATATTTTTAAAGAGATGCGATGTATTTAGATAAACTAAGAAATCTTGGAATGTCCTATGCAGATGAGGAAAATTTAGCTGCGATGCGTGATTATATTTTTAAATTGTCTAAATCTAAACAAAAGTAACTATATCTTCATTTCTAAATTTTTGCTATCTATTAATAACTTTTATTCTAAAAAAATATTTATATATAGTGCTCGGGATAGATCACAGAACCCTGACGGTATAGAGATGGATGTAAGTCTATTTATTGTTCACCAGTTTTTGTTAGTTTGATTTATGCAATCATAAAAACTAATTCGCTTTACAGGCTGGTGGTAAAAAAATTGATATGAAAAAACATGGATATTTGCCATATAACGTATTTTTGACAAGTGCACCTGAAGATAAAGTGGTAATTAAAGGATCAAGATCCTGAATTTACATTTATTTGACAAATTAATGTTTACCTTTCCTCCAATCTATTTATATGTTACTTTAGATTCCTCAAACTAGGTATTTGCATGTTATAGTTATTTCTATAAGCATCTTGCAGCATAATCTTAATTGAATCGATTCTTTCTAGTTCTGCTCCTTTCCGTCTTCCTGGAGCTTTAAGTAGCAAGTTATCACTTAACGATAATTCCAATACAGCATACGTGTCTAGGGTTAATAATGAGACCAATTTGCAGGCGCAGAGGCAGAATGGTCGCAATCGTCGAATATCGAATACTGGTCAAGCGGATTCAGGAAGTGACATTAACAAAAGTTCTGGTAAAAAAAGTGCACCAGTTCCAATCCCAGTTATTCCTAATCTTGCGGTAATCTCATCTACTCCTCCAAAAAATGAACAATCAATCCATTTAAATATTGCCTCAAGTCCTTCCAATGTTATTACTTCATCGGTAGCAACACCTTTACGTGAAAGGCATATGGCATTGGGTGGGGGCAGGTCTATTGATGGGCCGAAAGCTGCTCCTGCGACAAGTACGAATACAACAACAGCTAAAGGCACTTTAGAAAGAGGTGATGCAGAAATCCCTATTGTTAAACAAGGAGTTGCTCAGAACTCTGCACTTGCTCCAATCAATGAGATATCATCAAGAATTCAAAAACAAACACGACCAATTCCAAGAGCTCACGTTTCTAGTACATATGGTGGGTGATTTCATCTCTTTATTTTTGGAACTGTCAACACTATATTAACTGTTTATGATGTTAGAGGGGAATGATAGGAATGTCAAATTATTACTGGATAATCTATTTTTACAACAATTTCCAGACGAGATGACAGGTATTATTATTAGTTTCGCGCTGATATTTTTGACATAGCAATATATACACGAAGAATTTTGATAATAATATTACGATAATTTAGAGTTTGGTGAAAAGAAAAGTAAGCAAATTTCACCTCGTCAAGGAAGAGTACCAAAAGGAATAAATGCATTGAGAACAATTACAAATTGGCGTCCAGAAGGTGATCTTTTGTTTGTATTTAATTTTATTGCTAATTGCTTAATCATGACTGTTAAAACGATTGAATCCATTCTTGCATATTAATAGGTACCCTAGTAGCTCATCTTACCGAACATAAAGGAGCTATCAATCAAATTTGTGTATCTCCTGATCACAATTTCTTTGCATCGGGATCGGATGATGGAACGATAAAAATATGGGATTGCGGACGATTAGAAAAGAACGTTACCAGTAGATCAAGATTGACTTATAATTTATTAGGTACGAATTGTATATATAAGATATTCCTAGATTTTTTGAGCTTCGAATAATTTACTTTTATTATCACAGGGAGTCCAATAAAATGTATGACATTCATCGATAGTACACATAGTATTGCCGCTGCATCAAATAATGGTAGTATTCACATTATTTTTGTTGAATTTACTCCGGGAAATAATACCGGAAAGTATGGAAAACTACAGACTATACGAGAATACTATCTAGAAGAGGAGTTTGCTGTTGCTATGCATCACTACTACACAGGTAAGAAAATAATTTTAATCATAACGATCAAGTTTTTGTTATGATTACTAATAATATTCTTTGTACCGATGAAGACAACAACAAAGAATCAATGCTGCTTTATGCTACTTCAACTGGAAATATTTGTGGACTAGACTTGCGAACGATGCAAATTGCATGGACTTTTGAGAATCCAAAGAGCCATGGTGTAATCACCGCAATGGTGACCGATAAAAGTCATAAATGGCTTTTGGTTGGTACTTCGCGAGGTATATTCACACTATGGGATCTTCGGTTTCGCATACAATTAAGGTCATGGGTTCACCCGACCAAAAGTAGAATAAGTAAATTGTTGTTGCATCCGCAGGTTGGTCCGAATCGGTGGTGGGTGATAATTGCAGCTGGGAAAAATGAGATTTCCGTGTGGGATATAGAGAAGGTGGAGTGTAAAGAAGTGTATTTAGTGAGAAGTGGTGACGAAAAAATGGGTGGTGTATCATTGGACACATTCAAGGTAGGGTTAAGAGTTCATTCGTCTGTTTAAATATTCATTTCTGTGTCAGCTAATAAATTATCGAATCTACTTTTTAAAAAAAGGCTATTGATCCTCCCGGAACTAGCGATATATTAAGAAGCGCATTTACCGCGCATGAAACAAATTTTTCAGCCGATAATTCAGTCAGAGCTGTACTTTATCCACATGACTGTAATTACATGATAACCGCTGGTTCAGATCGAAAGATACGATTCTGGGATCGAAATAAAATTCAAGATTCATTTGTTATTTCTGGATTGGATGTTGATGAATCAAAACCAGCTTATAGGTAATTAATTCTTTTTGCCTAGTAAATTGATTGTATTTATTTTGCAATTATTTATCTTATTATAATCACTTTATAAAAAATAAACACTGCGAATATAAAGCACCAAACAATTCGAACATATATCTGTACACTTTGAGTCACATCCACATTCTCGCTCAAGTGGCTCAACAACAAATTCAAGTAGCTTATCCCGAGATGGTGGTGGAGGGTCGTCGAGCAATAAACGAAGCACATCTAAGAGCAAAGGAGCCAATGCACGGGCCGGTTTAGTTGCAATGCAACAACAGCAGCTACTAAAGAATCATCTGGATTGTGTTAACGATATTCAAATCACCGAGGTTCCGTATCCAATGCTAATAACAGGAGATCGGGAGGGTATAATTAAAGTTTTTTTATGATTATGTATGTAGACAGTTTTATATGAATAAAGGACCTTCTTTCCCTTTTTTTTTCGAGATATTCCATTTTATTTGTATTTTTATCATGTAGAAAATATATATTTCCTATTTGTCTACTTTCCATTAAAACCTCTTCAATAAACCTGAATTTAAATTATTACTGTTTACTTTTATCGTAATTTAAGAAATATAATGAACTTCGTTTTCCATAACCATAATTTTCAACATTAATATTGAATAAAATGATCGACATGATTTGACAGCCTTTCTCTACAAGAAAAAGAATGGACAACATAAAAGCAACATCCCAGTCACAAAAACGTGTTTCAACCAGCGGTAAAAAGAAACAGAGACAAAAACATCCAAATACATTTGCATTCCAGCCGAACAAAAATTCGAAAAAAACCAAATATATTAATTCTTTGCCAATTTCTGGACTGTAATAACAATATTATTATTATCATTTCAAAAGTATTATCTCTGTTTGCAGTGTTAAAATAATTAAATGACGAAACATTCATCAATTATTCAATTGAATCGAGCAGATGTCACAAATGTAAAGAAATCATCGAATGGCGAAAAAAATTCAAAAAGTATAAACCACTATCGACGCCAAAACGTTGGTGAGAATTTAAAATGAATCGATTATAGGATCTCTCCCCCCCCCCCCCGCTTAAAGATCTTTTTTATTTTTTTATTAAATCAAGTGTGAATTGCAGAGAAAAAGCGGTCAAAGAAGCGTATCATACCTTGTGCAAAAAATGTGCAGATGAAAAAGGCATATGTGCGAAATGCTTGGAACATGCGGAAATCCCGTATGAATCAATTTTTAATGTTAAAATACTTGTTCATTTGTTGGATAATCTGATTAAATTTAGCAATAAATTATAGTTCGAATGACACAAAGAAAGATGGTTTAGCAGAAGAAAAAGAACGTGATCGGATATTTGCAACGTTATCAGAGCGTCAACGGCGAACATACCTTCGTAAATTAGAACGCGGTGAAGTTCCTGTCATTGATGATTTTATTAAAAATATGGGTGATAATAGTGTTGATGATGATGATGATGATGACGATGATGTTGACGTTGATGAGATTAATGAGGATGATAGTGATGAATAAAAATTCAAAATAATGTATATTTATTTTTATATGTCAGCAAACATTAACCTAAAGCCATAAACTACATATTATAATAATACAAATTGGATAAATTATACTTTGAAACTGAAATTACTTCCACAATAAAGACACATATCACATGCTTGTATAATAGCTTTGACGAAAACCGAAGAATTTAATGTTTCATCTACATGCAAAGGGTGAGATATGGCAAGTGCTTTACGATTACATTCCTGACATGATCTTACGTACGGATTAGTTATTTGGCAGAATGTTATCGAACAAAGATCTATTAAAGAATATGTACGTAGGCCAATGATTAATATGGTATCAATAACATTTTAATTTCATCATCTTACCGAAAACGTGGCCTTTGGTACACCGACAACGAAGACTACCTTCAAGTGAGACACGTGAGAGAAACAATTGTTAAAGATAATATTAGAAAGCGAGACTATGTTGTTTAATAAGGAAAAAAAGGATATTATTTCCACAGATTCGACAAGGTTCTCTCATAGATAACTTTAACTTATCGGTATCGACAAGAGAATCAGACGCATGCAACAGATTCCTTTCTTCTCTTACATCCCAATCATCCATTCTACTTAGATATGTATATGCAACATCTGTCAATGCGACCAATGTCAAATCTTCCTTATAACGCAATAATGCCCTATCGCATAGATTCAATATAAACAATTGATCCTGCTCTATAGAACTTATGTGTTAATCATTATATAAAGCAATGAATATAAATAAGTAATAAAGAAATCTTACTATTCTCAATTCCAATTCCATTTTGTATACATGTTTCCATAGTACTTAATACTTGGCGAATCAGTGACTTTTCGAAAACAGTAATATAATCTTGTATTTCACTAATTTTCTAGAAATAAAAATTGTCGAGTAAATTGAAGCACCGCCAGATGATTTATGAAAATTACAAAGTAATCACCTCTATACTGCTATATAAATAGGTATTTATACGGCGCGCATTTAATGAAACATCGATATAGAGACCATTTCTCCAATTTTGAGATATAGCGTCTACTAGCTTATTACTGTCATATAACACAGATAAATAAAAAAAAACCAATACAAAAAGAATCTCGACTCAAAAACTGGCAAAAAAGAGCTCACGTTTCATAAAGATACACCGGTTTAAATTGAAAATGTTTCTCTTCCAAAATTGTAGATTTCCCAGACGCATCGTTATAAACGTCATTACATGCTTTCAATAAACAATTGAAAAAAGAATCTTGATCATTGTACTGTCTTTCTGCATCGGAGTATTCGAGTATATCCCAAAACCGATATACTGGAGATTTTTCTCGAACTGGAAGATAAATAAAAGAGATATCAACAGAAGTCTTAGTAGAAGATACTTCGATTTTGATAAGGATTAACGGTAATAGAACAAAATCTTACTAACGAAAAAATTTATTGTTTTTTATTATATTTTTTATTTGAGAGACTAAAAAAAAATTGATCTCCGATGAATTCTCTTCTTCAGTTAAGCAAAGACTTAAATAAGAATTATCGACTTTGTCGGTCACGTATTCATTGTCCATTTGGGAAATCATTCTAAATATAGGAAATTCATAATTAAATTTATAATACCTTGTATAATATATTTATGAAAGTCAGAAATTATCATACCCAAAAACAATGCATAAATAAAGACCATTTGCTGACGCATCAACACCATAAAATAATGGTTTTCTTTCCCCTACATCTTCATCTTCCTCAGCCTCCTTCTCATCTTGGTCTAATACTTCATCATTGTTAATCTGATCAAGGCAAATATCATCGACCATTTGACTTACAGAATCCGTCACATCTTGATTAATAGACACAGAATCCTCTGATATATCAAATGTCCAATGCTTTCCATCAACAGAGAAAACGCGTAATTGACTTGTATTGTAATTCCAAATCATTCCTACAAAAATAAACTAAATTACATATTAGTGACTTAATAGATGAAATATGCAAAATAACAATAAGAAGATTTTTACCTGTAATAGACATCGACAACGAAAATGAATTCTCTAGACAAATACATTTATCAATATTTAGCAAAAATGGAGATGGCGCATTCAAGACGTATAATTTGTTTCCTCTTGCAAATGCTAATCGATCGACGTTATCATTCTATAGATGACAAAATGAAGAATCAAAAAAGATCAGAAAATATATTAATTGAAAATTACTGAAAAGAAATAATTCTTGCCGTGTTACAATTCCATTTTATAATTGAAGGTACAAGTGAATCTGCGGTGAGCAATGGTTTTTGAAGTTCAAATGAAACTTTTATAGTGTTTATCGAATCGCTGTCGCTTTCTTCGTTTGAAATTGGCAACGAAAATAATATTTTCCATAAATTCACTGAACCATCAACACATCCTGTGACCAAGTTAATTGCATCTATTTATATATAACATCATTGATTAATGTTCCTAAACACGACAATGCATAAATGACTAACATACAGACATACAGGTGCAGGCATCGAGTTCTATCCAAAGTGACCAACTCATCGACACTACCCAGGTTCCGTGTGCCTTAAATTTGTGAATAAGTTCAATATTGTTTTTGTAGCTGATTTTCGCATATTATAAAATGAGAAAATTTCTAAAGAAGTTCTTTTATGCGTTAAAAATATAAAATATATTGATAATGTAATTAACCTTCTCCATAATGTTATAGTACCAGCTTTACTCCCTACAGCAATAATTGAAAAAGGATCACGTCCAGAAGGAAAACATTGTGATGTCCAAGCAATGGCTATAAAAAATACATTATTAATATCAAATGAACAAAAATCCACCAGTAATTTGGAAATTCAACATATCACGTACACGTTGATAACATTTCGTCCGATGCTTTTTCAAAAGTGTCATCCTTATTTTTTAGTTGAATATCGTCATCGGATAAATTTTCAATTAATAATTGAGATAAATTTACAATCTATGTATGAATTATAGACAATAGATTTAGTAAACAAGAAGCATAAATACGAAAAAAATGTCTATTTTACCTCAACCCATTGTTTCGGGTAAGACCCAATCTTTGGACCATATATTGCGACATAATAATGTGTCGTAATTACAGCCAATAAACAGCTATAAATATACATTTTAATGATATGATATCATGTGATTTACAGGTAACCAATAAAGATATGATCATACCCACTACAGGATGAGCAACCAATAGGAGACCACGTTACACATCGAAAACCTTCTGGTGAAAAGAAAATCATTTGGGTTCCAAAATCTAATTTCATACGAATTTTAATCAGTAAATGTACCCAAGCTTAGTTACATTCAAAAAGATCAAAAATCTACCATCAGATTTCTTTGGGATAGGACTATTTATTGTCACATTCTCAAATCTCAAAAGATCAGGATGTATTGATGTAGTAGTAGTATTAGTATTAGAAGTGGTAGTACTGTATCCTTCATCAGATTTCGATCCTTTGTATTTTGGTGCCTAAAGGGCGAAATAAAATGATTATTTTCATGAAAGAGCTTTCTTCCTTCATATCAAAACATGTTGAATTATGTAGTAACTCACACAAATATACAAGGCTGAAGGCGTGACAACCACAATTTGATTATCGTCGGACCATTGAAGCGAATTCGGTAAATCCGGACGACGCTTTAATTTGATTCCTACTATTTCCATCATAACGATAATAATCATAAAAGGGTCCAATGATCGTTATGTATTATTTATCATAAATCAGATGATTTTTTTTCAAATGAAAAATTTATTCGATCGAAATTCATTTTTCTATTGTATAAGAATAAAGTGAATGGCCGATAGACTTACCAGAATCGCCATTGTCAGCACTGACAAGTGCAAACCAAAAAAATGCAGACAAGAGTGTAAAAAATCGTGTCCGGTGGTGAGAATGGGTAAGAAATATTATATCCATACGCGAATACAAATTCTTTGAGTGCTTTTTTATCAATAATAAAAAATTCATGTTTTACTCGTTTAAACACAGGCAAGCTTTGCATTGAGGTCACGCCCGATAGTAAAGTGGCTTTTATATCCGAAGAACTATGCATTGGTTGTGGTATCTGTATCAAAAAATGCCCTTTCGGTGCTATCATGATTATAAATCTACCCACGAATCTCGAGAAAGAAGTTACACATCGATATTCTGCAAATTCCTTCAAACTGCATCGATTACCGGTCCCTAGACCTGGTCAAGTGCTCGGGTTGGTTGGTACAAACGGTATCGGCAAAAGCACAGCTATCAAAATTTTAGCGGGAAAATTAAAACCTAATCTTGGACGATTCGATGTAAGTTTGCAAGGGCCATTTTTAACGTTTGAGCTTTAATCATCGAGATTTTTAATTGCATCTTTCCGACGTAATTATAGGAACCACCAGATTGGCAAGATATTTTAAAGTATTTTCGTGGTTCTGAACTTCAAAATTACTTTACTAAAATATTGGAAGATAATTTAAAGGTACGCAACCATAAATAACAGCAATTGCTCTGATGACGGAGAGGATATTATCCCAAATGTCGCAATCTTTTCAATTTTGCAACTATAAAGGAAAAAAATCCATCATTTTGAAAATCAGGCTATTATCAAACCACAATACGTAGATCATATTCCAAAAGCTGTAAAAGGTTCGGTCACAAAACTGATTGATGGCAAGCTGGAACGAAATAACAAACAAGAGATTATCGATGCGTTGGATTTGAATGATGTGCTCAATCGTCAAGTAGAAGAATTATCTGGTGGAGAACTTCAACGGTTTGCTATCGGTATAGTGTGCATTCAAAATGCTGATATGTAGGTACTAGATATTGTTATTAGTGTAATTTTAATTTTGATTGGATTTGGATACTTTTTAATGTTGAATTTCTTTATTTATAGTTATATGTTTGATGAGCCTTCATCCTACTTGGACGTCAAACAAAGATTGAATGCCGCTAGAACGATAAGAAACCTATTGGCACCTACTACGTAAGAAACCTCTCCTATATCATTTAACAAACACATATTTACTATTGAATAATTTATTCATGTAATTTTAGATATGTCGTAGTAATTGAACACGATTTATCAGTTTTGGATTATTTATCGGATTTCATATGTGTATTGTATGGAATGCCTTCAGTCTATGGAGTTGTTACTATGCCTTTCTCTGTTCGGGAAGGAATCAACATCTTTTTGGACGGTAAAGTGCCTACAGAGAATTTACGTTTCCGTGAAGAATCCTTGACATTCAAGTTAGCAGAAACCGCCGAAGATGAAAAAGAAATAGAGAAACATCGACGATACAAATATCCTACCATGACCAAGACTTTAGGTAAGCAAATCGTAAAATACCAAATTTATCAAGAAAAATATCTATGTAGATTCATGTTAGAATTTATTTATTAGGTGATTTCAAGCTTCATATAAAGCCAGGAGAATTCACCGATTCCGAAATTATTGTTATGCTTGGTGAAAATGGCACAGGCAAAACTACGTTTATTCGTTTATTGGCTGGTGGACTTCAACCAGATGGTGATGAATCCGTGCCCGAACTAAATGTCAGCTATAAACCTCAAAAAATTTCACCGAAATTCCAAGGCACAGTTCGCATGCTGTTCCTCAAAAAAATAAAATCATCGTTCATGCACCCTCAATTTCAAACAGACGTTGTCAAACCATTGCAAATCGAGTCGATTATCGATCAGGAGGTCGCTCATTTATCTGGAGGTGAACTTCAACGTGTTGCTCTTGTCTTGGCATTGGGTCAACCGGCTGATATTTATCTAATTGATGAGCCGTCTGCTTATTTGGATTCCGAGCAACGTATTATTGCTGCTAGAGTTATTAAGCGGTAACTAGGAAATGGTTGAAAAAAGAAAAAAATAGCTAGTCTGTTGATTCTTACTAAAGTCGTAAAAATTTCTCCTAGATTTATTCTTCATAATAAGAAAACAGCTTTTGTGGTAGAACACGATTTCATTATGGCCACATATTTGGCCGACCGAGTCGTGGTGTATGATGGCATGCCGTCTGTAAAGGCGACAGCGAACTCGTATGTATAACTTATTTTTTTTGTTGCTAAACAATAAAATAGAATGCTAAAATTCTCTTGTCTATCACTTCATAGACCTCAGTCTCTGTTGACAGGAATGAATGCTTTTTTATCAAGTCTTGAGATCACTTTTCGACGTGATCCCACTAATTTTCGGCCAAGGATTAATAAGCAAGACTCGTTAAAAGACAAAGAACAGAAATCTAGTAAGTTTTTGGTTGTTTTGATTATTGTAGTGCAAAACATTATTTCAAGATGAAATGTTAAAATTTGAGTGAATTAATAATTTAGGTGGCAATTATTTCTTTTTGGAAACTGAAACTTGAATTAATACAACTGCTTTGAATCTTCCTGTTCACAAAGTAAAAGCTGCAGTTATCGTTAATTTTATTATGATAGAGTTTTGTTAAGTATTTATTGTTTTGGTATGTAGTCAAATAATTTGGTGATAGCTACCCTTTTTGTGGACTAAAAAATTAAATGTTTCTCGTAAATGAGCTATTGTAATATAAACTAAAATAAATAATATATGTGGTTACTTTAATTGGTAATTTCTCAAGTAAAAAGAATCTATAAATGAGTTCTAAAAAGATATACATGAAAATGCTTATTCGTCTACTCGAACTTTTCCAAAATCTTTAGTAATTGACGTGAAGTCATCTCAGCCAAGGTATAATAATTATGATTGGTTTTTGGATCAAACATGGTAGTGTGCGCGTCAATCTCACTGTCTACATCACACTCGTACGGCGAGAAGTATTTGCGCATGTGATTAGGTGGAAGGGCGATAAAGGTTTTTGATGTACCACCGAAAACTCGGGGAGGGATCTATTTAATAGTTAAGTAAAAAAAAAAAGATACAAATATAAATAGTGAATTTTTGGGAATGAATAGCAAGAGTTTACTTAGAGAATTACCAAAGTATAGTAACAATGAAATATAATATCAGGATCTTGCATCAATTCATCAAGTCTATCAATAAAAAAGGAGCAATCAATCAGTATAGATAAGAAGATCAAACAATATATTACATTAAAAATATCTCACCTCTTTTTCAATTCATCCTTTCTTATTAATGCACTAACAAACTCCAAATGACTACTAACCCAATCCATTCCAGCACCAACTTTCTCTTTATGCCTATAAGTCATTGTACCAACAGCACCAACGGCCAAAGCAGCTGCGCCCCATTTTAAGACACCAAATCCATTTGAAGGTTTTGCTGTTTTAGTCTCAGAAGTAGATGATTTAGTTTCTTCTTTGTTTTTGCCACCCCAAAACGATTGTGCTAATACTGCTCCTGCTGTAACCATTGATACTGTGTTTTCTATTTGGTTTTTATATTCAGTGGCGCGACTTTAATCGAACGAATTATTAAGTTAGCTCGATCTATTCCAGATAAGTGAATAATTTGAATACTTACGTGTATACGGTGTTCATCATATCATATTCTAATCCATAATAAGGAGTATCATAAGCGAGAAGTCCTATTATCTTTGGTGAATTTTCCGCGCCTAATCTCCTATATTTTAGAACAGCATCAGCGGCTAAACATAGAATTAATAAAAAAATCAATTACCAAATAATTCTGTAGCTTCAAAACCTTTTATAAAAATTCACAAATCGAAAAATATATAATATAATCAAACCCACCTACTCACCACCTACTTACCTATTATCCCACCCATCGAATGACCAAACAAACAGACCCAAACAGGAGCAAATACATTCTCGCCGTCAATTTGTATTTTTTCCTCTTCATGTGCTTTCACTTCAGTATCAAGCCATAAACAAAATGCATCCACAGCTTGAGCTAAATGACCACGTGTTTCGTACTTTTTATAGACTATTGATTTGGCGGTGAGGTTTGGTTGGTTGCCCATTGTTGTGGCGAGCCGTACTGGAAAGTCCTGAATAAATAATTGGTAAATATTATAGTTATAATGAAGACATGTACGCGTATAACAATTCTTGAATTATATATGCAATAAAACCTAAGTTTAATGAAAAATATGATCAATATGAAAATATACGTACTTGAAAAGTCTGATCGTCTCCTTTAAACCCATGAATGAATATAAGTAAAAGTTGGTGTGGATTTCTCAGCATTTTTATTAATTCTTTTGCAAAGTAATGAAACAAAATTATTTCGATAAAGTTGAAATAGTTTGTGAATTTATTTATATAAACCGGTTAGTAAATCCGCCTCAGTAAACCGAATTTACTAAATAAGTGTAAACCCATATCGATATATACCGAATTTTTCACTTAGCGTTAGCGTTAAGTACCGCGCATACAGAATCGGCGTGACTTCAATATGTTACTTTAGCATTAGTGTTAGGTCTTTCTTGATCAAAAGTATTAACGTTAAGTCAGTTGACGCAGTTAACTAATAGAGCCAAGGCCAAAAATAGGTTTGACCGCATGTATGAAATCTTGTATTTACAGTCGGGGCTCGATTTAGCGACACAAATGTTTTGAACAGTAATCGCTATTTTGAAGATTTCTATTATTAACGTTAAGAAAAGATCGGTAATATTATTTAAAAACTCGTTAATTCAAGCCTATCGTAGTATCATGATGCTATATTCTATATTAGGGATGTTAGGGACTACAAATTTGCTTCGCATTCTAAAATCGCGAGAGTACCGATATTTTATGTTCAGTCGGCATATGCAAATATCGTCAAATCGCCACGTCGCAGAAACAATTGCTGCGCACTAGTTTGTCATAAGCTAGATTTTGTGCTACCAAAAATTACGTATAAATAGGATAGAATTTCAATATTTTCAATTAAAGTTAATCTTAAAACCTTTACAACGAAAATGTCCTCACACAAGACCAGCAGAGACAAACACCGACAAGAGAGAAAAAAAGATGATCCCACCGTTCGTCTTTCGAAAACATTGTCCTATATATTGAGACATGGGGCTGCGAAAGAAGGTTTACAGTTGAGATCAGATGGATATGTTAAAGTTGATGAATTGGTAAATGATTTCTTTTTTATTCAATGTCACAATTTTATTGGAAACAGTCTAATCAGAATATTTATAAAACAGTTAAAGTTACCTAAATTGCGCGGAAAAACTTTTGCCGATATAGAAACAGTAGTACAGAATAACGATAAACAACGATTCAAACTTTTGGAAGAAGAGAGTTCTACGGGGGATGGAAAATCTGAATGGTATATTCGTGCGAATCAAGGACATACTGTAAAGGTAAGTTTCTACTTTGGTATCTCTATTCTCTGATTGTCATTATTTTTCAATTTGTGATATAAGAAAAAAAGGTCGAACAATTGGAATTGGAAAAAATCACGGATCCCGCATTATTCCCTCAAGTTATACATGGAACTTTTTTAAATAAATGGAAAAGTATAAGTAAGCAAAGTGAAAGACATGGACTGAGAATTCGTGGAGTGTTGAAAATATTAAAAATCTATTTTCATAATAGACTCAACAGGACTTAAAAAGATGACTAGAAATCATATACATTTTGCCGTCGGTCGATGGGGTGATCCAAATGTTAAAAGCGGCAAGTTTTTATAATATGTCCTCTTTAATTGTTGAAAGAAGATATGAAGAATAAATGTGACGTGTAAATTAATTTATTATAGGTGTTCGAGTAACCTGTGATTTATTTATATACGTGGATATTGAAAAAGCGATGACTGGTAACGTTAATGATTATTCTTTAGTATTTTATATATTAACGATTATTTCGTAACAATTATTAATATCTGCACAAAAGACGGAATAGAGTTCTTCCAATCGGAAAACGGAGTGATACTATCCACGGGAATAGACGGTACATTACCAATTCAGTATTTTAAAAAAGTAGAAGATCTATCTGGAACTATCTTGTATTTAAATTCAGATCGAGAGTCTTCGTCTTTCGGTTGAAATATAAATAGACAAGAAAATTGCATTATGGTTATCAATCACTCCAAGTCATTTTTATCATAAGATACGTTCATATCCGTTAAAGAACATGTGCTTCGTTTGGATCCTCTAATATTTCTTTTGATATTTGTATTGTAATATTTTTCTGAAAATTTCCATGATCTCTTCCCTAGATTAGGGCGTGTATGTAAGTTTTTATAAGAGAAAGACTAATAAATGTATTAACAAACTATTTCGTTAAATTTAAATTTCATTATCGATAATAACCAACTGACGGGATGATTTTTAAGACATGACTAATCAATTAGCTTATTTTAATCAATATCGATATCAAAATTTAACGTAATTCACGAAATATAAAAAGCAATTTGTGTGATGGCATCCACCATAAAACAGCGTCTTGATCGGTCATCTGATCTAAGAATAATACTGCAAAAAATAAATCAAGTTTCAACATTTAATTAATTCATTCTTTTTTTTTAGTTCTTTTAGCTTTGCATTTCCAATCGAGTGACAACAGCTAGCACAAGGCAAAGCTAATACAATTAACCCTCAAAAAATCATGACCTCTACCTACTCATCCTCAAAACACGAAAGCACAAACACAATAAGAGGAGGCGGAAGTGAATTAGGAGGAGGAAAACACTCGGAACATGGACATAATAATGGATGGAGTAGTAGTAGAAGCCACACAGGAGGACATTATAGTAGCAGTAGTCATCATAACAGAAGTACAAGCAGTGGTAGCAGACATCAACCACCGCCGCCACCACCATTACCTATGAATAACCGAGGCTGGCGTGCGAACAATAGAGGATACTGGCCAAGATATCCACCTCCACCACCACTGCCGCCGCCACCTCTTCCACTCGCAAACAGAGGAATAGGAATTCCGCCACCACCTCTTCCAAGAGGTAGTAGCTGGCGTCCTGATTATAACATTGATAGGGGCGGCAGGGGTGGTGGTAGATGGCAAAATCCTCCATATAATTCATCGTATAGAAGCACTCCGTATACTACACAGGTTAAATAATTTTTTCATTGTCACAAAAAAGAAGAGAAATATTATTAATATTGATGAATGGGATTTTTATTTAATGTTTTAATTTTAGCGACCACCACGTAATGGTTCTTCATCGTCGTCTTCGTCATATCCAAATTATGCCCCCGGGAGTATGAGTATCAATCATCGTGGTAGCAGTGGTGGAGCAGGACGTGGCGGATATAATACTTTTGCTACTACACAATATATACCAAGAGGAAGAGGCCGAGGTATCTCACCGTGGTCAACGCCCACTTCTTCTCGTCCGCCACCAGCTAATGTAGCGGAACTCAACGTTACCGCGTATTATAAGAAATCAATGCTGGAAGATCCTTGGACTGGCCTATTATAGTAGAATTCAGGGTGACGGTGTAAATTATCTGTTTATTTTTGGATAATTACACACTCTCATGGAAGCAGAACGAATTCCAAACGATGGCAAACTTTAAGATTCCACGACATCGGATGTTTGAAAGAAAGAACATTTTGATTTTCTGTTCCCTAATTATGGGACCAAAATGTCAACAAACAACGAGTGGGTACATCTTATTTTTACATTATTATTATCATCTTCATTTTCTTTGTTTCTGAAAAATAAATTACATAAAAAAAAATATTACAATAATAGTCTTGGTATCATTATTATATGTTAAATAATATGATTATTATTAATTATTTTTTATTATATTATTATTCTTGTTCGTGTTGTCTTTTTTGCAATCTGTTATCTTTATATTTAATATCATCTACATATTCCATTTCTAAGCCAGGGGGTGGAGGTGGCTCAGTAGTCTTTACTAGCAATAAAGCAGCAGCAGCCTAGAATAAAAAATATTAATTACAAAAAGAATGATAAAATATAATAATAATAATAATAATAATAATACAACGACAAGATAAAAAAAAATATTGATTGTAAAATAATGATAATATGCATAAAACATAAAAATACCTGCGCCACTCCAAAAAATAGCATACCAACTAATGGCAATCTAATAAAAGGATAGAACGCAATCGAGAATCCAAACAGAATTCCTTCTCGTTCTCTAAACCATTTCCTTCGTTTCTCACCACTAAACGGTATCCTCGCGAAATACGGTTCCAACAATTCACGCATCAAAGTACGCGACGAAAACAACGTTTCAAGAAACAAGATGGCGAATTTTTTTGTTCCCGGTGTAATATACATCAACACACCAACAGTCGTAGCTGGATAAAGTCCCAAGGAATTCACGAGCACATACGCACTCCCTACCGGGTATACAAGCCTCCCAACAAACGGTATCAACGATGCCAAATACAATAATGCAGTCCAACGCAAATCACGAAGTGTACGATTCATGTATGCCAACATTTCACCCCAATAATTTATATCGAGGTTGTACTGCTCTAATGCTGATGCATATGGCGGACGTAAGTCGTGTTCGCCTTCATGTTTTTTCTGATATACATAATCTATTTGTCGTAGCGACTCGATAAATAACGAGTCCAGTGGTTGTGGATATATGTATCGCATGAATAGAAGTCCAAGAAATGGTAAATTGAAGACCCAGTTTGTTAAAAAAGAATTATATCCATCCGTGAGTTTGTGTGGATCATATCGAAATATTAACGACAACAGATATATTATTAAGCGAAGTAGTTGAAAAGGAATTACGAGAATTGTTACGCTGAGAATATAGAGTAATAGTGAGAATGCACATAACCACAGAAATACTTTCACATAGCTGTGTTTATATAAATGACGATTTTCGAAAGCGAGCACTGAGCCTTGCCATGCTAATTGTGCACCTCTTGTCACTTTCTCAATTGACCAATTCATTTTCGACTTAGGATTCTGTAAAGAGAATGAAAGAGATGAAATTTATTTTGGATGACTCCAAATTAAAACTACCACGTGATATTTACTTGATGTGTACGAATTTTCGTTTAACGTTAATAAAAAAGTTGCAATTTTAGAAATCAGGCAAAAATAAAAAACTTCTGAAAATCACGCATGTACATTCGATCGTAAAGAATTTCAAATGTTATTTTCGGTCTTTTCATCAGTTTTACCTTTTTCTTAGATTTTTTTACCTACATGTATATTATGTATACATGTATATATTTAATAAAAGCAGTAAAAATTACAAGTTTGAAAATCGCTATCTTTAAAAATGGCCTGCTGTCAGATGAAAAAGTAAACGTTACTTCAAACTAAAAGAATTTTTCATATTTCGAAATTAAAATTAACAAATAATTATTTCCTCTTATTCATTCATTAGTCGTGTTTAAATGGAAATACATGTACAAATCAATAATAAAAGGATAGACTAAATAGAAAAGAAATTAAGCTTTGGTGGTGGAAGATGTTTTACCGCCTTTCGAAGCAGGCTTCTTTGATACCGTAGCAGTGGTACCGGGTTTGTTATCGCCCTTCTTTTTCGGCAATAATTCCATATGGATATTTGGCAGAACACCACCTTCAGCGATGTGAACATTTCTTAGTAATACATTGAGTTCTTCGTCATTTCTTATGGCCAATTGTAGATGTCTTGGAATGATTCGTTGTTTCTTATTATCACGAGCAGCATTGCCAGCAAGTTCAAGGACTTCGGCGGTAAGATATTCTATGACAGCAGCGAGATAAACTGGAGCACCTGCACCCACACGATCGGCATAACGCCCTTTCTTGAGAAGACGTCCCATACGACCAACAGGGAATGTGAGACCTGATTCAATTTAGTAATAGGATCAAAAGATGGGGATGGAGAAATGAATGATATTTTTAAGGATATGACGAATGGTGTATTCCGATAATTACCTGCTTTTACACTTTTGGATGTTTTTGACGTGGCAGATACTGCCTTAGCGGCTTTTGTAGCACCTTTCTTACTCTATGTCGGGATAAGATAAAAACATGTGTAAACAAGTGTCTAAAGTTCTTTCTGCTCGGTTGTTTTGAATAAATATTTACCCGACTCTTGGGAGTACTTTCTTCAGTAGTAGGATTTGGAGCTGTATTTTCAGCGCCACGAGAGCGAGAACCCCGTTCGGAAGCCTTTTCTGTGGTGGACATTTTGTTAAGCAAGTATATTTAGAGTGCTAAAGGAATATGACACGATGTCAAGAAGGCTGGTTTGTTATTTAAGATTGCAAGGTATATTTTCGTAAGGTAAAGAGATTTCTTTCCCAAAAACCAAGAAAGCAAGAAAGAGAAATGAAAAATGCAAAGGTTTTTTGTTATGGTTTGGCTGGAACACAGGCTGAATTTATTAGCTGGGATTTAAGGTCGGATTGCCGGCGTGGTACACTAATCACGTCATCATTTTTTTGTTATTTTCGAATTCGAAAAACTGCATTTTCCTTTTTAGGAAGAGTAAATGTTTGTTTATTTATTTTGTTCACGCGTTGCTAGTTTCCAACGCGTCGGGTTCACGCGTCGAATATTAAGAATAATCATTGGCTAGTCAAAATTTTTTACTAAAACTAAAAATCTGCATAAACCGAATTTGGTTCCAGGTAATAAAGCGAAGTTGGTTCCCTCTATATAAACTGAATTTACTAAAGATTATCTGTCCGGCTTTGGCTTATCGAGGTTGCTATTTTAATAAATAACTATGGTGCATACATAGCCTCTAAACTCATCAATAGAATAAGAAGTAAAAATACAATCTATTGATGAGTTTAGAGGCTATGTATTCACCATAGAGAATAATAAGAAATTCACCACCTAAAATTTGTATAAAGTTATTCTTTAAGAAAGATAATAACGTAAAGTATGTGTGTACATGTACTGGGGGATTGGTATTCAGCGTTATCTATGACAAATGATTTCTTTATTTTTATTTTTTAGAACACAGTGCATTTTTCTTTGTGTCATATGCATCATTTTCATTAATCACACCTTGTTTTAGACTTGCATTTGCATAAAATCATTTTTCTGTATAATTTCATAGTGACACAAATGTTTTAGAGAATAAAGAACATTTCTTTTTCAATAATGGACTCGCGAGAACAGGAAGAACAAAAGATTATACTACAAAGCTCCGTCAATCTTGCCAATCTTTTCTATTCTGATCAAGTTTTTATGTCTTCGTCTTTGCAATTATCATCTCAATCCACTTCCTTGCCATCCACTTCATCTAATAAACATCACCCCGTCACACCTGAATCAAACGACGAAAAAATAAGACGTTACCGGGAACGTAATCGACAAGCGGCAAAAAGATCACGAGATCGTAAAATGGCGCAATTGAAACAGCTCGAGGAACAAGTTTCTCAATTGGAAAAACAACACGGCGAATTGACAAAGAAGATTGAAGAGGAAGAGATCATATTGAGGCGATTGGAGAAAAGACACGAAAAATTAAAAGAAGAAAAAGGAAAAGAAGAAGAAAGTGAATGGTGGAAGAAAGATGATGATTGGGATTTTGTTATGAATCAGTTTTGAAATTGACATTTCCATAGATATATAGAAATACTAATAGACATTACAATAAAACATTAATTATATTTCGTTTTTTCTCTTTATTAATAAGTTTCTGAATTAATAATAATCTAGTACATTTTTCTTTTTATGAATTAATAATAACTTGCAAAGGAATAAAAACACATCGTCCAGGTTTACCTGCTCATCTACTTTATGCACTTATACACTTTATTTCTCAATTTTTCACCTCAATTTATACGTAGTCAGTCTTATTTGATTGAGGGGTAAATTTAGAAATATCCAATTTTGGTAATTCATCCGCGTAAATCGTTGCCAAAGTGAACGTGAGAACCCCACCATAATAATACTTAATTAGCGTGAGAAAGACACATGCATATGAGTTTGCGAAAGAGCAAGAAAAAGTGGTATATTCAAGAAATGCTTGAATTTTTTACTATGAAATAAATGGATGTTTATACCATTATTTCTGTGATAAATCACGCGTCAAATAAAGAATGTCACAAGCTATTCATTGCTAACTTTTTTGAATGGAACATTTCAATTTGTTCTTTTTTTCTTTATTGATCTTGTTCATCAGCAAGCTATGATAATAATATCCATCGAAAAGGTTATATATATATATATATATATCGATTATCTGAAACCGCACAGAAAACGATATTTTTTTAAATTCAAAATTTTAAATAAATAAAAATTAGCTTAATGTCTCATTTTGGAATGGAAAACGACGCAATTATTAGTATTAAAGTAAGACATTTGACGAATGTTGGCGAGGCAATTGCTCGTAAACTACCCATACATAGGAATATTGGGTTAGAGGATTTGGAACTCAAGGTATTTATTAAGAGTAGACAAATACCATTGACAATAAAATGTCGGTATCATTAGAATGAAATAATATTATTGCTGTAGAAAAGATAATGAAGCAATCTTGAATCCTTTCGTTATCACTATTTCTTTACTCATTTTAATGTTATTATGTCAGATTCGAGAACGTTTCGAAATCTCAAATGAAAAGAAAATTCAACTTTGTTACACAGAAGAACAAGACCGCGTTATCATTTCTTATGACGATGAGCTTTATCTTTCGTTACAGGGTGAGAAGACGCCCACGTTTGATTTGATGATCAAGTCAAAGGTACATTGTTTTAAAGCGTCTCCACCCATTTGACAGCTTTTTTCATCTTTTTATAATTTTAAATAGAACAAAGTAACTTGAACATTTGATGTTTGTTATTTATAGGTTATTGGAAATACTTTTCTATATCCTCAACCGTTGAAAGGAAGTCCGGGGGAATTAATCGATGTTTGGATTGCATCAGAATATCTTACGATTGATCACGCACTCAACGAAGCAACAAAAGCATGGGGAACACATATTTACACTGATGACTCGGATCTTGTGAAAGGTTTTTTTTATCTCTTACGTATTTTTTTACAATTATTTATATTTAACGTTTCTTTGACGAATTTCTTTTTAGTACTTCTCCATTCTGAAAAAATATTGCTAGATGAACTACCGCCAAGATATAATGTGGTAGTAACTGTTAGGCTCCTTCCCGGATGCATAAAATACATTGGATCAGCATGTCATGGCATTATCACGAACGATTATCCAGCTTACGGGACTAGTATTGTGATTGAAGGTGTACGAACAGTTCCTTTAGTTCCGGAAAAGAATAATTATTTGTGAAAGTGAGAAAAAGTTATATTTTCAAGTGAAGTAATGGTCACGTTAATATTGGATTTTCAATAAATTTCGGGCTCATTCTTCATTATTTTAGTATACTTATTTTTATATTGTAACTTATTAATTTTTAATATATTATATAATCATCTTCTATATAGTTACATTTTAGTTATATAGAGTTGTTAAGTTCTAAATCTATAATGTTAAACATCTTAGCTTACCAATCACATGATTTTGTTTCAATTTTTGTATGCAAAATAATATATCATTATATATAATGCCACCAATAATATTGCATGCATCATATAATACATGTAATAATGATATTATAATTTTAGCTTGGATCAATAATTGTATACATGATAATTAATAAAATCTTTTTTGAAAATTAATCAATAAAATAATTTACATGTAATAAAAAATCATATAATTTTGTTTCAATTTTGATCAAAACATATATAAATATTTTTTTGAAATTTTACTAGTAACTTAATAAATCCTATCTTAAAAAATATATTATCAATTTAGTTTTTTTATATAAAATGCTAATATATTTTAAAAAAGTTTCAATTATTAATTAATTAAAATATTTGATAATATAATTATTTAAAATAATAAAATATAATATATATTAATACAATTAATATAATTAACTAAAATATTTATAATGTTGTATAATGACCTTTCATCATAATATTATTGGATTATAAATATCTCATATATTATTGGATAAAAATTATATCACGTGAAGCAAGCGAACAAGCGAACAAACGAATAACTAAGCGAACGAACAAACGAACGAGCGAACGAATATTGGACCAATAAAATTTAAGTGATATAGCGTACATGAATTCGTATAGCCTAGAAATTATATCTTGGATTTGTATAAAAACAACATGTAT